TTCAGGCCCTTCAGCCTCTCTTCATAGGGCCTGACCTGCTGTCCCTTCACCATGCGAGTGGCCCTCCTCTGGACCCTCTCAATGCTAGCCACATCCCTTTTGAAGCGCAGCGCCTAGAACTGGACACAGTACTCCAACTGTGGCCTGACCAATGCCGCACAGAGGGGAAGGATCACCTCCCTGGACCTGCTTGTGATGCATCTATAGATGCACGACAAGGTGCGGTTAGCCTTACTGACCGCTTCCTCGCATTGGCGGCTCATGTCCATCCTGGAGGCAACAATGACTCCAAGATCCCTTTCAGCCACTGTGTTGTTGATAAGGGAGTTCCCCAACCTATACGTATGCTGCAGGTTCCTTCTCCCTAGATGCAGCACCTTGCAGTTGTCTGCATTGAATTCCATCCTATTCTCATCCGCCCACCTCTGTAACCTGTCTAGATCTAGTTGGATTCTGTCCCTTCCCTCCAGCGCAACCACTTCTCTCCACATCTTTGTGTCATCAGCGAATTTGGACAGTGTGTTTTCCACATCCACCTCCAACTCACCGATAAAGATGTTGAATAGCACAGGCCTGAGGACCGAGCCCTGGGGGACCCCACTGCCCACATCCCTCCAGGTTGAAAACGACCCATCCACCACCGCTCTCTGGGTGCAACCATCGAGCCAATTTGTCACCCATCTGACTGTGTAGGCATCAATGCCACAGTCGCCTAGTTTTTTTTATGAGAATGGGGTGAGAAACAGTGTCAAAGGCCTTCTTGAAGTCCAGGTAGACAACATCCACCTCAACACCCGCATCCAAGGACTTTGTGACCTGGTCGTAAAAGGAAACAAGGTTAGTCAGGCAGGATCTGCCCGCAGTGAACCCGTGTTGGTTGCCCCTGAGCATTACCTCCCATTTCTGACCTACCCAGCCTGTATTATAAGCACTTTCAATCCTGGATGCAATGGAGTTAATGTGAAACTACTGTTGCACAGGGTCTGTTTAATGTACCATGAAAAAATATTTTAAGTATCATAACATTCCAGCTGCACATCCAAGCCTGGCCACTAAGGGCAGTCTCTGTGCTCTCACACACCTTTACTGGTTGCTCAGAAGTTTCTTTCAGTGGGGAAGAATTTGTTACAGATGAAAACGGGTAATATACAGTATAAACTGATAGCAGTGAACTTTTTCTTGGCTGTGTGTCTGCGCAGAGGAGCAAGAATCACTGTTTACCCCATCTTTATGCATTTAGGTGCTGGCTCTCAGCACCCAAGGATAAGCAACATTTACCTACTAAACACTTACACAAGTGGCTCTCAACCTTTTCAGTCAAGGGACCTCTCTCCAACTTTTTTGAATTTCCCTCATTTAAAAACTACTGAGGGAAGCTGAGGCAGCAAAATAGTGGTCCTCAACTGAGTGTCCCCGATGCCAGGTAAAAATGCCCTGTGCCCTTCTGCACGGCCTGCCCAGAAAGGGCTGTGACATGCACATACTTTCTTACCTGAGGGAAGCAGAAATTCTGCTTTGGAAAAGGTGTCTCTAACGTTTGATGCCTCCCAGAGTGCATCTGTCCCATTGAGCAGAGAGTGAGCACACTGGCTTTTTGTGATGCTCACTGTTTACTAGCCCTTGGGGAGGCACTTTGCTCCAGAGTAATTTGCCTTTACTTTATGGCAGTGCCAAACCTTTTGCCTCCACAAGCCAGATAAATGGAGTAGGGTAGGTCCACGGGCCAGATCCCACATGCCCTGATCCACACCTGTGCTACCCCGCTCCAGCCAAGCAACACCTTGAACTGGACCCTTGATGCCAGATCCAGCCATGTGTTACCCTAATATGGACCCATGCCACCATGATCTAGACCTCCCAATCCAGCCACTAACTGCCCAGTCTGGACCCATGCCACTGGATCTAGCTGTGTGCCACCCCGATCAGGACCTGTGCCACCTGATCTGAACCCACCTGTCCTGATCCAACCTGTACACCACCTGGTCCAGTCTTGACCCAGACAAATCTGGCATGCAGGGCCACATTATCTGGCCTGTGGGGCCCCCCATGGGTCTAGAAATTTGGCAGCAGGGGAACTGCTCCTCCACTGGTCAGACTTGACCCATGGGCCATGGGTTGAGCACCTCAGCTTTAGGGTCAAAGTTGAGCAGACACATTGTGCACAGCCTAACAAAGTGTGTAACTATTTTGGGGTAAAGGGTCATTTTTTGGAATGTCCAGAGTAAATACAAACCGGTGTAGGCTGCATAGGTGAACCAGTCTATCAATTTATCAATTTACTAGATTTTCTGGGATAGGACTTTGGTAAATGCAAAACAGGCTATTACTAGCTCCCTTCCCATCTAGTAGACTTACTATTGACCATCATCTCCAGACAGTTGGGTGTGTATCTGTGCAGAAAACTCAGGATCATTTACTCTGGAGTAGAATCTAAGATAAGTTACCTTGGAGCAAACGTGTAATATGTCTGCACCCAAGGGCTCTTCACCATTCTGTATGGCTGCTTGGTAAACCTTTAAATTAATCCTAATGCACCCTACAAAATACAGCCTGCTCCAGACTGGAGCTCCAAGGCTCTGCTGCAAAGCAAACAGGCAGATTTGTTTCTGGAAACTCATTTTTGTGTATGGAAGACAAGTAAGCTTGTGTAAATGCTTCTCTGATGATCAGCCAATAAAGCCATGGTGGTATTAACATGAATGAGAACAAGATGAAAACTCATTTTGAGGCCTGATATTACATAAACCAGAGGTAGAAATTAATGGCACAGTAGGATATACAGAACATTACACCTTCAAGACCTGGTAGGTATTTTGTTTCTGTCTCCTAACCCTCAAGACATATCCAGCATCCTGATGCTATCCCCCTGGAAATCAGCCTCAAGAGTTAATTACATGAATTGACCCTTTGTTCTTGGATTGTGAAACAGTTATGTTTGTACCCTCAGGGAGACTTGTTCTTCAATCTATCATATGACCTAAAACATTCCTTTCTAGCGCTGGCTTTTGAAATCACATGGGAGAGAGAATGGGTTAGCTAATGAACTGGTCTAAAACATTTTCAGGCCCAATGATCAGAAAGAAAAAAAATGCTGATCCTTGCCACGCTAAATCAAACTCATCAAAGATAAAGCTTTCCTTCAACTTCCAGCATTACTGAACCATTCAGACTAACTTGTGCTTTATTGCAACTAATGCTGGATCATCTTCTTCAGGATTTACTGCAAACTTTATAATTTCTGATCTTCCTCTCATGCTCCCCTGAACCAGACATTTCACAAGGCTGATTACATTGAAATGGCCTGGCAAAGCAGGAAAAATATGTTTAACAGTATAACCAGCAATTTCTGCCCAAGGAAGTGCACAGGGAAGTCTGCAGGTCAGGATGGAGGCCCTTTGGCAAACTGTGGGGAAATCTGAACATCTTGCAGTGGATAGCAGGTATTCGCTGTTTCTGATTTCTGTTGGCACTAGAAAATTCACTCTCTCCAGGTCCACTCTGGCTGGGAGGAAGTCAGCTCATTGTGGCTACAGGAAAATCTTTTATGGTTACAGTACAAATCAAATACAGTGAAGTGATTAATACAAATGGAATCTCAATGGAACCACCCTCTTATGATGTCTGGAGGAGTTGAGACAGTTTCTACGTCTTATTCTTTACAGGAATTGAATAGCCTTTTCCCTTCACTTCCCAGGTACTATGTCTCTTTTCCACCTTTATCTTTATTCTACATGCTGCATGATTAGTCTTTAGAACCATGCGATAGATGAATTATTTTTCTTGTGTCACCAGCTATATATCTCCCATGCCCACTAGATTTCACTATTAAACCCTCCCCGAAAAACCAACCTCCCCAACCTTGTGATACGAGAAACTTGTTTTAGACAACTGCTTGAACAAATTGTAGCCAGACACTTCTGTTCAAACAGAAGTACAGATAACTTCTCTACCATACGCTTTGGCTCCTAGGCACAAAACAATTAACCCCAATGCAGACTGCAGCTGGTCCAAATTCTTCTTAGACTTGAATTATCAACCATTTTGGGGAGAAAAGGTCCCATTTTAAAGGACAAAAACAAATCCAAAATTTAATAGAATTTGACCCATTTTAAACCAGCTCTTTTGTAAACTGTGGACTTATGAGAATCATGTTGATATTTGAATTCAAGCCTATAAAAGCCCATTAATAAAAACAAATGTGACCAAAGCAAATTCTGTCCTTTGATCCATGCAGAGACCTCCTCCTGATGTCACTTGCTCTTGTGTATTTGAAACTAGATGTTGGTTCATCATGCTTCCCTGGATGATGATAATGCCTTGGGGTGCACAATTTCTTGGTGTAAACTGATGTAGCTATGCTGATTTAAACCAATGATTGACCCCAATGGAGCTATGGTAATTTGCATCCATTGAGTATTTGGTTTCTCAGTTTCAGAAAAATTTGGTGGACTGGGTTGACAGTCAGACTCAAGCTTCATTCTTTTTTCTTGTCTGCATTTTCAGACTCTTGGCTTAATCTCTAACGTCTGTTTTCATGTCTAACAAGATCTAAAGGGACCTGCTATTTCCTTCAGAGAGTCATCAAAGCCTTGAAGTAGCCCTAAAGAATGTACTTACTCCAATCTTTCTTCCTCTTTCTTCCGTAGATCAAGGTCCCGTTGAACCACTTCCCAAACATGCTTGGCCTCTTCATCTGTGAGCTTGGACAGATCCAATTTCCTTCCCATCCTAGCAAGGAGTTATGTTAAGGAACCTAGACAGCAGGAAAAAGAAAAGCAGTGAACATTACCATGGCAGGCCAAATGAGAGACCATCCTGGTATGCTTTCTTGGGAGATACTATCTTATTTTTACTCATGAGGGTAAAAGCTCACACCTTCTGGGAAGGATTTGATATTGACATAGGAAAAGCATTTTATTCCATCTCTGTCAACACCCATACGATCTGGTCCAGTCAAACAATTTGGCATGCTAGATGGTACAGAGAACTATACTTGGCCTCCTGTGATAATGTAACTTAACCACTGACAGAACCTGCTTTTAGAGGGGGAAAGAGAGGGGAAAGGAAGAGAGAGAGAGACTGAGTATAATTTAAGGCCAATTAACAGCAGAAAAGCTCTTTGGAATTATGGGAAAGTGGTATTCCCTTTTACCAGTCTTCTTGGGACAACAAGATGCACTTGCAAGTCCTCATTGGATTTGTGTTGTGGAATGAATTGCTAATTAGCAAGTATAGACTATAAGATGAACCTGAACTAAACTTGACTGCTTTAGGGGTATTTAAGGTTATTGTGTCTGTAAGGATTCCTTGAAGTTCAAGTCTGATAAAATGGAAAAGAATTACAAAACCTCAAGGGATAAGTGGCATATATATACTTTATTGTTGTCTGTCCTTTCCTTTATTTTCCTCTGCAGACAGCACATACAATAAACAAAGAAACCATGTCTCAGGGCATGTGGTCTTGCAGGCATCTGAACTACAGTACACACTTACACTTTTAAATGTCATTCCTAGATGCTGATCTGATACAGGGAGAGGGAAAGGGAGAGGAAATGTCACTTGCCAAACGTTGTGGTGCTCAGGACAGGTCCCGGAGGACCGGAAAAGGGCCAATGTGGTCACTATTTTCAAGAAGAGGAGGAAGGAGAAACCAGATAACCACAGACCGGTTAGCCTAAGCTCTGTACTTGGCAAGACCTTTGAGTAAATTGTTAAGGATCACATTTGTGGGGGACCAGCAGGTAAAATAATGCTAACGGACAACCAGCATGGGTTCACTGGCCGAAACCAGTTTAAGATAAAACTGGATGGATATAGTATCAGACTAAATTTATTTAGATTAAACTGGGTTATTGAACTTCCGTCCCAGATCCCCTCCACATTCAAGTTAAGTCCCCCAGCTTCCCAGGATGGCTTGCACTTTCATCATAACCCCCCCACCCCCCACCTTGCAGGGTAGTTGGCAGCCTGCTCCAGCCAAGTAGGGAGGCGTGCTCTAGCACCCGCCAGCTTCTGGCCTGAACCACTGCAGGTATATGGCTGCATTTGTGTAATCAAATGTGAATGTCTGTTTACTTGCTTATCGGTTTAATCTACGTAGCTTAAACTAATCTGTGAAGACTGAATTGATTCAGCCTTGGACTTTTTGACTGTCTGTACTTAGCCAAAATGGCAAATTGGCCTGTCCAGATCCACTTAGATTCTCTCCCTGCCCTCTAGTTTGTTTACCTCCCCCCATAGTTTGGTATCATCTGCAAACTTGGACAGAGTGATTTCTACTCCCTCATCCAAGTCACTAATGAAGATATTGAACAGTATCAGTCCCAGGACAGAGTCATGAAGGGCTCTGCTGCCCACATTTCTCCAGGTAGAAATCAACACATCCACCACCACTCTCTGGGTGTGTCCCATAAGCCAATTTTCCACCCACTGGACTGTGTAATAATCTACATTGCAACTGTTTAGTTTATATATAATAATTGGGTGCAACACTGTGTAAAAGGCCTTTTTTATAATCTAAGTAAATAACATCTACCTCTATTCCTTCATCCAAGCATTTTGTAAACCAGTTCATCTTGGGCCAAGGCTGCCACCTACCCTGCAAGGCTAGGGACAGACATAAACCAGTTTAAGTGATCAGAAACTGGTTTAAACCTGTAACAGAACAGATGTTCAGTGCACATAAACCAGTTTGAAAATGGCTGAAACCGGTTTAAGATAAACCTGGCTGAATGTAGTATCAGACTTAACTGATTTGGGTCAAACTGGTATATGCAATGTCTGTCCCAGACCCCCTCCTAAGTTTAAGTTAAATCAGTCCCCCAGCATCTAAGTGTGCTCTCTGGGCAAAGCAGGGCTCTAATCTCTGCTCCAGAAAGCTGGGCTGGCACCTTCCCTCTTTTCCCTGGCTGCAGCTCTGGCAGAGACTTCATGGACAGTGGGGTCTGCCTGGTTTCCTTCTGCTCCCCCCCCACTTCTGCTCCCCACTCTCTGCTGAAGCAGGGATTTCCCCCTCCCCTCTGCCTTACACAGACACCTCTCAACATTAGCTAGCATACCACATGCTGGCTATGGTCTGTGCTGCAGCAAACAGGACAAAAGCAGACTGCACAGTGTTGGCTCATGGCTTTTTGAAGCTAATCAACAGGTAGCTAGTAATGTCCCTCCATTCCTTCCTTGGAAAAAGTTGTTTAAGAAGAGCTTGAACTACTGAGAGAAACTTTTATTTTCTTAATGGGCTGATAAACACTGTCATCAACTGTCTGCTGGGCTGCTTGGGGAGAAACCCCTCCCTAATCAGAGTATTCTGCCAGGGCCTGGCCATGCCCCCTCAGCTCAGCACTGTAAAAGGAAGGGAGGGCTGCTCTAGTGCCCCCTGGCTTCTAGCTGGAGCCACTGCAGGCATGTGTCTGAATTTCTGGAATGAAAAATGAGTGTCTATCCACCTCCAAATGGGTTCAAGCTTTGCAGGTTAGACTAACCTGCAACGATTGGATCAATTCAGGCTCAGGCTTTTTGAATGTCTGTCCCTAGTCCTAGTCATCATTAATTTTAACTTTACCTTGCCTTACTAAATCAAGCCTGACAATTGGATTTCTGATGACAACTTGAATGATAGAGTTAGATTTCTTGTCACCAAAATGGTTCTGAATTTGCTACAAAGTTCAGAGCTTTTCTATATTGGGGAAACAGACTGAACAGAGGCAGAAACAATTGATCTGGAACAGAAGAGTAGAAAAGATGCTCTGTCAATGTGGGATAATGGGTGGTTGTACAGTCACGGTTCCACAGGCAGATCTGTGGATGTTGAAGTCAGGCTGAAGACTCAGAGCTAGGGGAATCATTAACTTCATAGTTTTTAAGGTTAGGAGGGACCTATTAAATCAAGTCCAACCCCCTGTCCTGGGCAGGAAAGAGTGCTGGGTTCAGATGACCCCAGCCAGGTGTTTGGCCAATCTCCTCTTAAATACCACCAAGGAATGGGACAGCACCACCTCCCTTGGAAGCCTATTCCATACTTTGAGAGCCCTCACTGTAAAAAATGTTTTCCTGATGTACAATCTAAATTTGCTCTCCTTCAGCTTGTGGCCATTGTTTCTAGTTACCCCAATGGGCACCCTGGCTAAACATTGTATCCCCTATTTCTTGCTATGCCCCCCTGATGAGTTTGCAGACAGCCACAAGATCACCTCGCAGCCTTCTCTTGTGGAGGTTGAAGAGATTCAGGTTCCTCCATCGGTCCTGGTAGGGTTTTTCCTGTAGGCCTTTAACTAGGCAGGTGGCCCTCCTCTGAGCCCTTTTCAGGTTATCTACATCCCAGCTGAAGCGCAGCACCCAAAACTGGATGCAGTATGCCAG